GCTGGATGTTGCAGGTTGATGCAAGACAATCCGCTGTTGAGTGAAAGCTGAATGTCCATCTTAGAACCATCTGTAGGCTGTGGAATTTTTACCAAAGGGATCAAAACCGCTGCAGAAGACGTAGGTCTGGACGCCGGAGGATTATCATAACGGCAGACGATCGTTTCCTATTGCTATATACAAGACTGTGTAGATCACTAACAGCACGGCAGCTGGAGTCGCATCTCTCTGCTGCTGTAGAACGGCCAGTGTCTCATCAAACTACGTCGCATCGACTGCATGAAGGTGGACTGTACGCGCGATGTGTTTTGTGTTCCATCGCAGGATGCGAGAGCGCGGTTGAATTGGGCCCGTGAACATCGCAGATGGACAACAGAGCAGTGGGGCCACGTACGCTTTATAGGTGAGTCTCGATTAATTACCCAGAGCGACTCCTGATGAGCAGTGATGTGGGAGCTAGGGACACGCTATCGGGCGCCAAACGTGGTCGAAAGAGACCGTTGCAGAGGAGAAGGCTTACTTGTATGGGTTTGGGTAGCAACGAAGGCCGCAGCGACCGCGACGTGATTCCTAGTGGTTCCATCACAGTCACCCGATATTGCGACGACATTCTAGACTCTTCTGTGCGCTCTTTTGCCACTGCAGTGCGCACCGAAACTATATTAACGGATGATAACGCCCGCCCTCATAGAGATGGAGAAAGGCGGAGTTATCTGCTGAGTGAAAACCATTTCACACCGGCCATGGCCTGCTAGATTACGGAACCTGAATCCCTCTCAGCATATGTGGGACATGTTGATACGAGCAGTCCGCAGTGTACCGCCAGTCGCCCTCCGCGATTTCCAACATGCAATACTACAGGAATGGGGGCTGATGCCGCAACAAACGATGAACAACACTATTGGCAGCTTGCCTCGCCGTTGTCAAGAATGCATTTCAGGGATCATATCCGTTATTAGCATTCTTAGCGTGATATTTCCATTTCCATACTTTCTTGTAAGGGCTGGGACAGCTACGAACGCTCACACTGACCTCTACACGATTCCTGGTGTTTCCGTGACAGCCATCCTATACAGCGACGAAATCCTGCACCATATTGTGCGACATTTCACCGCGGAATGAGTACTGACGCGATATTTATGAAAGATAATTCCCGCTGTGAAAGAACTCGAGTGGTGCGGAGTCCAGTCGACGGAGCATGTGGGAGCTCCGACATGAATTACTACAGGGATGGGTGCTACTGCCACAACAAGCGATCAATGACACTATTGCAACTTGCCTCCCCGTTATCAAGCATGTATTTCAGCTAGAGGGTATCACACCCATCATTAGCGTGAGGTTGCCATTGCACAATTTTCCTGCCCGTTCGGTCTTTTACGATGTCATGGTCGCAATACATGTGTTTTTGTATGTGTTTAGTTTATTGTTTGTAACGTTGTTTAGTGATGCGACACCAGCCTCTTGGATAATTTTCTGGCATACCCATGTTATGTCGCGAATTTCAATTATTAATATGTGTTTCAAGTTATTATTATTCTAATAGGAATATGTTATGTCGCGAATTTCAATTATTAATATGTGTTTTAAGTTATTATTATTCTAATATTTTTATTTGTATTCATGTGTATTTTAATCTGGAAAAAAAGTATTCTTAAGCTCTTAAGGTTTTATTTAACTCATTATTTTTGAGTTGGAATTGTGACAAAGGCGAGAGACGGTTGCGATGACACACATCTGGTTTATGGCCTTTTCCAACAATGGAGGCAGTTGGGAGTCGTGTGTCGCCCTTTTAACTCTTTGCGTGGGAAACGGAAATCGCTTTGTTAAAGTTTGCAGTATTCTTACTTCAAAACAGTGGGAGGTGTACTAAGTTAGATAATTGGATACTCGTAAAAGCTAGTTTCGCTTGTTAGTTGAGGGGTCTACGTTTTCTCACGTTATGTGTGCAGATGTTTTTCGGATTGCATTGTCAGATTTTCTGGTGTTTGATTCGTCATGGGTGTGTCATTTTCTCAATTTAGATAACATAAAATTCCGGGATTGGTAAGATTTAATTTTATGATTTTTTTGAAAGCCTATGAACTCACAGAGGCGGAGAAACCGAGATTTTCTGGGTGCTTGCACCAGGCTAGAGATCTTTCTGATTGAGATTTTTGAGCGAAAAGGAAAAGGAGAAGCAGAAAGTTTTGCGGGGCTCCCCCTTTGCGGGGCGAGCGACTTGTACAAGCGGGCTGCGGTGATGGTTTTAGCGGAGTCTTGATTTGAATGTGAATTTTTGGGCAGCCGCGATGTGAAAGAGAAAGAAAGATCGTGGGGCGCTTTGCTCTGCTGCGGGCTTCCTGAGCAAGAGGGACTGGGTACCGTTTTCTTTGCTCTAGAGAATTCTTTTTCTGCGGGATATTTAAAAGTTTTGTGCGAGATGCAAGGAACATTTTCCTGCGTGATGTATGGAGAACTGTGTGCGAGCTGCAAAGAGCATTTTTACTGAGAGCTGATTGAGATGTATAGAGAAAAATCTACCAAGAAAATTTTCCCCTTATTTACTTCCTTGTCGAATTAAGGGATGGGGTATACGAGCCATATAGGATGCTAGGTTTAATAGGGTTTCAACTGTGCCGAAGAGTTAATTGAAATAAACCCTGTTCTTGGTGTTAATAATTCTACAACAAAAAATATGCAAGGCACCCTATGGGGAGATGCGAAAATAATTTTCCTCCGATACGGATGTACTCGTATGCAGCGTTACTCCTTCTAAACAAGCTCCTATGTGCGGGGCATAGCCTGCAAGACGAGGTAACATTGTATCAGTAATACGTTGCGATATAGTCTTGCATTTCCGAAAGTGGTATTTTCAATGGTATTTTGTATCATCATTACAAAGGATTATTAACTTGCATTATTATTATTATCTACTATTTTTCGGTTTATTTGCATATTTTCCTGTTATCAATGACTCAGTTACTATTTTATTAAATTATGTGAGATGTTTTTAGAGCTGATTTATATTTCAATAGTTTTTCATGATATTTAAGGTGAAAATATAAAGCATAAATATGAAGTAATTTAAAATAAAATTTGTTTTCAAATAATTCTAAGCTAAAATTTATTTTGAAGCTTACATATCTTTAATTTTTTATCGAATAAATTGTAAGCTCAAATAAAATGTTTTAAGTTCAACACAGTAATAATATTTAGAAAACAATACCATATTTCAAGTTTTGAAATATTAAATTTGTAAAATTGCTATGAAATTTATTTATACCTATTTTGCCTTTTCTCTTTTGAAATTCACTGATGAATATATAAATAAGATGAAATACACTACAAGTAAAAGTGTACGAGTCTAAATAAAGAATTTAAAAATCTTTTTGAAATAGTTATAAAAAGATAACCAGTTTTCTTGAAACTGCAGAATAATTAGACTTTCAGATGAAACTGTAGCTGTGCTTCCTCGCATAGGTTACTCAGTTTTCAGGAAATTAAAGATTCCTGAGATAATTTTAGTTCGAACCCGATTTCTGTCGTCTAATTCATTTATATGTAAATGTGAACACATCCATCATTTGTACAATGATAAATTAGTTGTTCAAAACGTGACTTTTACTTTCGAAATAACAAAACATCTATTGCTTACAATGTTCAGTTCCATTGATTAAATGTGTTGATACAAAATTCAAATTTTTAAAGATGCATGAATAACAATATAAAAAAAGGTCTTTATGAGCTTTATTTATTTTTTCTTTTCAAAGCTGACGTATATCTGATTAAATGCTGTAAATGAAAATCCTTTAAATTTAATTTTTTATCTCTCGGACAGAAAGGAGCGAATTTTTTATGTTTCTTTTCAGCCGCGTTTAAGGAAAATTAACTCACCATTTTACCTAATTGGTTTCGAGATTCCTTTTTTGTGATTTATTAATAGCATTCTCATCTTTTTAATCAAAGCATGCTTATAGTAAAATAAAGGCATCATGTAAAGAAATTCATGTTTTTGAAATTTGCTATTATTCTAGTATTCAAAAGCATATACTTATTGAATGGATATTACTTTAAAGAGCACGAAGATGAATTCGAGAACCTGGTCAAAAAGTTTGCTGTTTTGAAACTTTTTCAAAAGCATAAACATAATTATAGTCTACTGGGTGTTAAGAAATCGTGACTATTATCCAACGTTAGTTCAATTATGAATTTAAAATCAAGTATTTGAGTTTTATAATGGTAAAATTAAAAGTAGTGGATTTAAGATATTTTTAACTAATTCCAACTTGTCAGATTGACAGATAATTTTGCAAAGTTTATATTTTAGAATTTATTTTCCAACTTTAACATTATTTTATTCTCAGCCCTTTTACCCTGCATGTATCTTTAATATTGCGTAATGTGTTAGAAGATTATTATTAACATAAGAAGGGTATACATATTTTCACAAGGTTAATTTATTTATTTATAAAATCCAAATTGTTTCATATCATTAAATGTCAGGTTAGAGAAAAGCGCTTGTGTACTTAAGTTTTTTTTTTTATTTAATCAAATCAGTCCAAGTTAAACCAAAAATTATATAACGAAAACCAAGAAAGTTAACATAACCAAGTTAATAAAATAAATAACTTGGTTAATTACATAGCCAATTTAAACCAAAAAATACACGATTTGATTCAAATTACCTTTCTATCAAATCACGTGTTTTATTTGAGATATTTCGTTTAGAACGGCTTTAATTTGAAGCTTAAGACTATACAGTAGTGGTAAGCAAGAATATCATTTGCGAAATAAGTTAATTCGTGCTTTTATGTCATATATTCGTAATAACCTGAGTATTTGTTTCGAACATAGGTACTGAGCTGCAACTTATCTGTATTTTAGCAAGGTGTAATATTAATGTTTTATTTTTCTTGTTCGATTAATGTGTACCGTACGTAGCGATACCAAGTCATGAACTATTTAAAATACGGCAAAATTCATACGGTATGCTAAAAGAATTGAAAGAAATACTAATTTCATAATCTCAATAATTTATTTATTTGCTTGTTTAATTCACAAAAGAATATTTTGAGTATTACAGGAATTATCAAAGTACTTATTAAAATGTCACCATATTATTATGCTGAATAAGGAAAATATTCTTGTTATTCAGTAATTATTGTTTCCATAATAAGGCTGATACCGAATTTTATTCAGACCTCCTTCAGTTGTTTTTCCAAACAACTGAGACCATTTTTCCGTAAGAAATGATTTTGGATAATTTGGATTAATCTTTGCTATTGTCATCTTGCCTAAATCTCCACTGGACCAAGGGCCTATATCCAGACCTTCTGACAGATTGGCAGCGTTATCAATAGCCATATGATCAATTTCTTCTTCTGGAACACTTCGCTTTCTGTTGTAGTTAAAGCAGCATGCGCGAAACATTGCGGTTCCACAAGCATTAGCGCATTCCGGGCCACATGCATTACATGCCATGGAGACAACATGGGCTGGAGGAAGAAGGGTCAAAAGCATCAACATGGAGAACAGATAAATGCCTGTAAAAGTTAATATATATTAATTATTTGCTACATAACTTCAGATAGCATTTTAGAAGAAATATATTTCTCTATGACTAGTTTTGGTCAATTACGATTTATTACATATTAAATGTTAAATTATAAGTAGATGATATTATGAACAGTACGATTAAAATCGACAAGCTGACTGAAGATGCGTCAAGTGAAATATTTGTAATTAGTTCTGTCAACTGTCATGGGTACAATTTGACAGAAGTGTTTTGCAAAAAATTTCAAAAGTTCTAATTTCATTTGATAACTAAACTTCATATTTGGCTTCATCGAATCGAAAATTAAGAGGAATAAATTTTAGTTTTATGTATGTGATGGTAAAAGCGTAATCTAAGCTAAAGCACTTTTACATTGTGAAGGAAGATGGATTTTCTATGATCCTTCTTACAAATCTTACCGTGATGAGTAACATATGCGTTAGGCGTCTTGATGTTGATAACTTACAAAAATTCAGATACTGATTAGAATAGCTACAGGACGGAGGATAACTTTAATGTAATTCTCTCTCAGTTCTCATTGAGTATTCAAAATATGCAATTGTAGGAGTACAAACGTATTAAAATTTTAAAAAATATTTAAATATTTATACTTTCAGCCAAGATTAATATCAAAAACAATAATTTAAATTTATGCCTATTAAAAAGATAAAAGAAGTTTTTAAAATTTAACTAAAAAATATCATTATTGTAATATTTATTTTCAAACGGTTTTCCGAAAAGACCACAATTTTTCAAACAGACAGCAATTGTGTATCAAAATGCTAGTTTGATGGAAGGATTTAAAATATGTTAAAGTCCTCGGAAAGTGTACCTTAATTGTAAACATTTCATTTAATAAAACTGTTTCATTAGTATCGATATTGTTTTTTCTCAATCATCTTTATTTGGTGACCCGCTGAACACAAAAGACACCGAAAACAGATGAAATTGGAGATTTAGAAAATACATCGCTTGAACTAAACCAAGTAATCATTACTTGATTCTCCTTCGTAGATCGATAAACCTTAAATCCGTTTTTTTTTCGTAGAAGTACAATTCAAAATTTCGGGAATAAAAGCTGAATAAACGAATTATTTGGTTTCAGAATTGAAGCCTAAATACGTAGAAAACACGTGGGAGATAGTCAGTACCGACAGCGACAAAAAATTTACAAATGCTAAAGATAGATTTTTAAATCTATCGAAAGTCAAAGTGTCCGAATAAAGAAATTAATTACCTGCATTAATCTGGGAAACATGAAATCCAGCCAACTGTTGCAAACGTTAATATCCGTTGCTCCAACTAACGTATCAGCAAATCTGATTAAAACCTTGTGGCTTGAAAAATTACCAGAAATAATGAAAAACATACTGTTAGTAAACGAAGAAGATATTTTTAAAACTTGCTATAATGGCATATAAAATCAACGATATGAATCCACGCACAGAAATATTTGTTGTGCGTATGCCCACAAAAGCAACTGTCCAAATCAGCAAAGCAATACATGATGAATTGTTTAACAGAATTCAGTTAGGCGAAGTGTAATACCCTTCGTTCACGCTTACGGTGCCAGAGCACACTACAATGCTAATGGAAAATATTGTTATTTTCATTTAAATCTGGAAATGCAAACCAGAGAAATGTGAAGCGCCATGTCAAATGAAAAAATAAATAAAAGAAAATCAGGAAAACTAAATGTTGCTGTAGATTTCGCGACAAGCTCTCCTGCAAACATAAAGGATTGTCGAAAATTTCATTTATTTATAAAAGATAAAAAAATTGAATTTGCAATTACTCGTTGATAATGAGGCCGATGTCTGAAACGTATGGAGTTGAAATTCTTAATCTTGACTTTGATTATGCAAAAGTAAGTAAAGGGATAATAGGAGCCGATGTTTTAAACAAATTTTCAGTTTACTTATTGACCTGAAAGGACATCAACTAAGCTGTGCATTAACAGTGACGTTTCTTCAATATTTTTAAATAACAGTATAAGCAAATTAAGTAAGCCAAATAAATATTCGAATCTGTTTTGTAAATACGAGTACATTGGTATGCTTAAGCCGAACTTTATTATCTCAGATACAAAGCACGATGTCAAATACTAAGAACTTAATTCATACCAGATAACGAAATAATTCCTACTTCTAACTCACAATGGACAAGTCCATTACATATGGTAATAATCATTACATATGGAAGGCTCATATCGTCCATGCGGGATGCCAGGAAGTTAAATTCCCAGATAGTGCCTGATAGATACCCAATGCCATGAATTGAAATTTTTCACCACAATTTAAAAGACACCTAATTTTTTCTAAAATTGATATCCTTAAAGCATATTATCAAATTCCAGTAGCAGAAAAGTATAAATGTAAGACTACGATAATTAACCCATTTGGCTTGTATTAAATTAACGTTATGAGTTTTGGTTTGAAAAATGTACCTTTAGCATTTCAAATATTCATCCATAAAATTTTTAGAGATTTAAATTTCACTTTTATTTAGATGATATATTGATCACATCACATAACAAAGAACACGTGAAACACCTGAATCTAGTTTTTGAACGAATAAACAAATATGGCTTTGACAAAGACAACTTTTGGGTATAGAATTATTTGGGTATTTGATTACACCCCTGAGGTTTTCATTCATTACCTCAAAAAGTAAAAGCTATATTGAATTACGTGTGTGTGTGTGATTATGGCAAAGCCTCGAGGGCTATCTGCCTAAGAGGAGGGATGCCTTCGTGGAGGACTTTCTAAGGGAAACTGGCTCGTATACACGTTACACATGGGGAAAACCACGAAAACGCCCATGCAGCCAGCCCGTTCGCGGGATTCGAACGTCGGACCGAACTACCAGTGTTCAGCGACTTTACCGCTCGGCCGCTGGTGAGCCCTATATTGAATTACGAAACACTCCAAATCATCCATGAACTACACTGGTGTGCAAAAATTAAGGACGAGACGGTTTTTTCAATATAACTTTGTACAAAAGCTTTCCAAATCAACACATTTAATACCGTAAGATCCCCAATACGTAAGGACATGAGTAATGTAAGCAACACTTACTAAAAGAGAAATCAGAGGGATAAAAAGAAGCTTTATTGAAAAAGTAGCATGGAGTGCAATGCAACTGAAGGCCGAAACATCCCTGTGATGGGTGTCCAGCAAGAAACATCCGGTCTTTAATAGGGTATATGATCTCCCCTGACTGCTAGGCAGGTTTCACAGCGTCTGCCCATGCTTTGAATGAGCGTCTGTGCCCATGCTGAGAGTTGAGAGGTGCATGGCTGCCCATTCGTCTTGCAGCGCCAATCGAAGCTCCGGAATCGTTACTGGTGGTAAGGTACGAGCTGCCAAGCGTCTGCCTAGAAAATCCCATACATGCTCGATGGGATTGAGATCCGGAGATCGTGCCGGCCAATCCATACGTTCAATATCCTCACTCTCTAAGAGCTGTTTGGCAGCTACTGTGCGATGACATGGTGCTCTGTCGTCCATGAAAAGGAACTACGGACCCATAGCGCCTCTAAAAAGACGCACATATGGAAGAAGAATCTCGTTACAATAACAGGTCCCGTTGACTGAACCTGCGTCGAAGATGTGAAGGTCTGTACGAATACTAAGCATGATGCCTCCCCAAACGAGAACACCGCCACCTCCATACCTGTCCCTTTCAATGATGTTCGAGGGACGATTGCGGCTTCCCCGCTCTCTCCAGATGAGTATGCGATGAGAATCGCTATTCAGACTGAATCTGCTCTCATCTGTAAAGAGTACTCGTCCCCATTCATTGTCTCTCCAATTCTGTTGTTCCCGGCACCACAGAGAACGCCTTCTCCGATGGGCAGGCGTTAGAGGTACACACCGTACAGGGCGTCGTGCAAACAGACCACCACCTTGCAGTCTTCTGGCCACGGTAAAACGCGATATCGGTCGTCCAGTCGCCTGTGTCGTGTGTCTAGCGATTTCTCCCGCTGTCTGTCGCCTGTTTCTTCTGGCCTGTAAGGCAATATACCGGTCATCTGCGGGTGTGGTTCCTCGTGGACGACCACTACTAAACCCCCGGATAGCTGTTCCTGTAGTTTGAAATTGTCTCCAAAGTCGTGAAACGAAGCTGTGAGCAATTCCGAACTCTGCAGCCACACTTGTCACACTGCGGCCTTCCTCCAACTTCCCAATGATTCGACCTCGAGTAAAAGCATCCAGATGTCGTCTAATAGATTGATTATTCGCCATTTCTCGCTGAGGCAGCAACTCGGTGTGATTTTAACTGCTATACGGCGTGCAATCTCTTTGCCAGAAATACTGATCTTACACAGAGAACATGCTTTATACTACTCAGACACCCCCCATTACGTCTACCTGCATATCTGCGCATGTGCTACCGTACATCACCTTACTTAATCTCCTGAATGGTCTTTCTGTCCGCTCTGCCTCTTCGTTCAGCTGATATGCTAATTTTTCGACTTCGTCCTTAATTTTTGCACACCAGTGTAAGAACATTGCTTGGCATGATTAACGTTTATAGTCATTACTTAAAAGACGCTGCAAAATCTCAAGCCATTTTACATGACTACTTGAAAGGTTTAAAGAAAAACAGACAAAATAAAAATTCAATAAAGAGATGAAGCATTAAAGAAATTTTCAAAGTGTAAGCAAGATCTTGCTAATGCTTCATTGCTATCCTACCCAAATTCTGAATTACCTGTGGCATGGTTTATAGACGCTTTGGATTCGGCTCTTGGGTAAGGGTTACAGAATTACGGCACAAAGGATGGAAGGATTCTTTTCGAAAAAACTCAATACTTCACAGCAAAAGCATAGCATATATGATTGTGAATTGCTTGGAATTTACAAGTGAGTAAAACCTTTAAAATCTTTTAGAAGGAAGGAATTTTACCATATTTACCGATAACAAGCCTCTGCAGTACGCCTTTGAAAAAAACCAAAAAAAGCTTCACTGAGACCAACTTCATTA